GCCCAGATTGAATCTAGGCCGATCTGACGATCACAGATGTCCAATAGTGCTTGAATTTTATTTTATTTTTTTCTACAAATCCAAATCACTTGAAATTTTAGGCGTATGTTCATAAAAAAAAGATGAATCTTTGAAAAATATCAAAAAAATATTTTATATGAAATAAATTGAGCAAAATACCCCCAAAAAGTTTCAAAGGTATTTTGGTCATTGTGTTTTTCACGATTAAGTTTTTTATATTTTTATTAGGTGCGCCTTGATGAGAAGAATACACACCTAAAATTTTAAGTGATTTAGATATGTAGAAAAAAAAAAATTTAAACACTAACGGGCATCCGTGATAGTCAGATTGGCCCAGATTTAATCTAGGCCGTTGGGTTCATATGTTCATATGAGCTAGAGAGCTAATCTCATCTTTTATATATATACATATATATAAGTTGGCGTTGGCCCACTAGCTCATATGAATATATGAGCTCAACGGCTCACATTGAATCTGGGCTGATCTGACGGTTACGACCTCATTTCATGTTTGAATTTTTATTTTTTTTATACAAATCCAAATAACTTGAAAGTTTAGACATCTGTTCTTCTTATCAAGGCGCACCTAATAAAAAATATTGAAAAAATAATTTACAGTAAATAAATTGACCAAAATACCGTCGAAAGTTTTTAGAGGTATTTTGGTCAATTTATTTATTGTAAATTGTTTTTTGATGTTTTAATTATATTGTTATTCTATTTTTTAAGAACACGCACCTAAAATTTCAAGTTATTTAGATTTGTGAAAAAAAACATTAAAATTCAAATACGAAATGAGGTCGTGGTCGTCAGATCGGCCCAAATTCAATCTGGGCCATTAGGCTCATATATTCATACGAGCTAGTGGGCTAATCTCAACATTTTCCTATATATATACTACAAGACGCCTATAGGCGAAAATGAACAGTGATTTCGCCTACCCTCATTACCGTCCAAAGTTCATCACATGGTCACGATTGTCCGATAATGTTTCATTTTTCATTTTTTTCTACAAATCGGAATGACCTAAAATTTGGAGAGTGTGTTCATAAAAAATAGACGGATATTTTGGTCAATGTTTTTTCCTGAATATTTTTTTTGTTAGGCGCACCTCACTAAGATGTATACGCACTTCAAATTTCAGATCATTTCGATTTGTAAAAAAAAAAAATGAAAAATAAGACACTACAGGACAATCGGGACCGTACGATAAACTTTGAATGGTGATGAGGGTAGGCAAAATCACTGTTCATTTTCGCCTAAAGGCATTGAGAAGACTTTTCCATTTTCGCCAAAAGGCATTGAGAAGACTTTTCCATTTGACAAATAGCATAACATTATTGATGAAAGGAATTACCCAATAGGGATTACATGATCAGTAGAAATAGAAACCGAAGATAAAGATGCCCCACTTTTGGCAAGAGAATACCCACATCATTGACTTTCCTAACAAATGCTGGAAGGATACCGGTAGGCCTATTGGATTTTAATTCTCAGGGTACCGTAGTTCCTTTTTACAACACCGAATAGCATTCAATTAATCCCCTTCGACAATATAAGGAAGCCCTAAATTATAGTAACTAATGATCTTCAATCCTTGTAAAATAGCTGCCACTTCGACGAAATTAGCAGTTGCTTTTCCTAATAGGCCCTACAAAAGTGATTAGGAAAATGCGCTCGGGTCTCAAACCGCACCCCCAATCCCTACAACCCTTAGGTTACTAAGTGAACTACCATCAAAATTAAGCTTAATCATTCTTTGAGGGTGTCGAGAC